TCGCTGGAGCCGGGCCCGGACACAATATATGTTTGAGAAAAACGGCACCCGTTAGATAAAGTACAGATTACCCTTTTGTCTTCCCAGCCTGCGAGCGCACTTTTTGCTCAATTACCCTCAATCCACCTGAGCTTTTTTTCAATAAGTATTTTCGTTTTCACATGGTTGTCTCTCCACTCTCGCAGTACGCAGACGCGCAGAGTCGCACCCAGAGTTTCACACCGTGACGCACACACACACGAGTCACGACACACGTGTGAAATTACCACTCTCGAGCCCTAAGATACGTGCCCGGATAGTACCTTACTGAAAGCATTCCGAATCATAAAGGTGTGCCTTACTTAGAGCCGTATATGGCTCTCATCCGTGTAGAGCAGGCGGACATCGCTTCCAAGGAGGGGGGCGCACTTCTACTCACACCACATGCTAGGGGGGGGGTCCGACCCCCCCCTGAGGGAGGGTGTAGAGGATGTAGAGTGTAGAGCGCTGTAGAGCTGTAGAGATGTAGAGCGCTCTGGAGCGCTGTAGAGCGCTGTAGAGCTGTAGAGCTCTACATCCGCCGCGGGACGAACTGCGTGCGTTGTAGAGCGATGTAGAGGCGCTCTACAACGTGAAATCTCTACAACAAACTCTACATCAAAAGCGGCGAACGAGGCACGGTCGCTCTCCGACATGAGGCGCGTTGCACTCGCCAGTGCTGCCCTGGCCTTCTGTCTGCCCGCCCAATGGGTGGGAGGTGCCTCTGCTGCTGTGGCATGCCTCACGGCTGCGACTGGCCGGCGCCTCGGCGCGTCAGCTCGGCTCGGCGTAGCGATAGTGGCCAGCGCAACTCGCCTGGACTCAACGCTCAGCCAGGAGCTCCCGCACGCGCTGGCGCGAGTCATGGCGCATGCAACGCGTCTGAATGCTCGCCTCGCCTTGCGCAAATGCGACCGTCCTCGCCGCCGACAGTCCATCGCCTGCTAAAGAAGCACTGCGACGAATGCGGCACCGGCGACGCCATATGCAGGCTGGTCATGACGCAGTTATGGGGTGTTGTGTGCCATCAGAGTGACTCTCTGTGTGTCAGGGATAGTCAGGGCCGTCCATCAGAGCTCCAGTAAGCTCGGAGACACCCCATTAGTGCGACTCGACCTCTTTGAGTCACTGCCTTCCCGGCGGGTTGGCTGTAGAGCCTCTACAACAAACTCTACAACAAAATCGCGCTCTACATCGCTCTACAACGCACGCAGTTCGTCCCGTGCCCGATGTAGAGCTCTACAGCTCTACAGCGCTCCAGAGCGCTCTACATCTCTACAGCTCTACAGCGCTCTACACTCTACATCCTCTACACCCTCCCTCAGACCCCCCCCAGAGGCTTCACCACATGCTAGGGGGGGAGGTCCGCCCCCCCCCAGAGGCTTCACCAAATGGGGGGGTAGACTTGGTAGACCGCGGTAGACTGGTCTAGCCCTTTTTCAGCCGCTAGTGTCGGCGGCGCGGCTCCATGGCCACCCCCTCCCGTCAAGCACTGCGCCTCCAGATTCAGGAACATACTGTGCTCAATGTCCACGCCCGGCGGGTCCGGTTGGGAGAAGCAGGCTGCAGTAAACCCCACAGCGGCACAGATCGGCTCGATGTAGTCGCGGCACTTCTTCTCGCACGCGTCGGACGGGACGGCAAAGCTGGCGGTTGGCGAGTCGGCGGGGCACGGCGGGCTGGGGCCCGTGCCTCCGATGGGGCACTTGGTCCACTCCTCGCCGCACGGAAACTTGCACGCCTGTTTATGCACAGAGGGGAGCAATGAGTGGAACACGTGTCATCTCGAGTGCTGGCTGGAGTACAGAAAGTGGAGGGAGCATCTAGGCTTTGCGGACCCACTGCCCGACGCCGGTGGCGGTGACGGGGTAGCCGCCGTGTGCGATGCACCCCTCGGGGCCTGGGTCCGGCCGAGGTGCGAAAGACAAGGCCACTCCGAGGAGCCACCACGCCATGGCCGCGCAGCCTCAGTTGGGTCGTCGCCTGAGCACAACAGATGAGGCTGAGCTGTGAGTCTGTAGTCGTCAGCGTCGGGGGTGCCAGAGGCGCATGGCTGAGGTCATGGCCGCGGCTGGCGTGTGCAGGCGTGGCGTCGAATTGACGCGGCTGCAGGTGCGGGCGGTCGCGATCGTCAGAGAGGGCCGGGGAGAGCGCACGCCTGGGGCCTGACGCTTAGCCGAGGCCGAGGAGCCAGGGCGAAACCCCGCGGCCGCTGTTGTGAATTTGACGATGAATTTCAGCGTTTTAGAAAAAAATATTCGGGCTGCTGTGTGTGTGAGTGTGTGAGTAGCGGTGGCGGGCTCGCGGTGGAGGCTGAAGGCGTGGTGGATCTTTGAGTTTATTTCATGATGGACTACAAGGAGTGGGGTTCAATCGCGATCGGGAGGCAGGGGGTTCAACCAGGCGATGGTGGACCGTGGGCCATCGCGGGGACGGGTCCGTCCGGAGGGCGACCCCGGCAGATCCGGATGGTCTTCACGCCGGTGGGTGGCACCGAGGCGTCTTGGACGCTCAGCTCTACCTTAGCTCCTGAGGGGCGCGTGGTTCTAACCACGTAGTATGACTATAGCCCACCACAGACACCCTCCCTGCTCCACACGTGTGCTCACACCCTCACCCTCTCCTCTCTCCTCTCTCTCTCTCTCTCCTCTCTCCTCTCCTTGTCTGCTGTCTGCCTGACTCAAGGCCGAAGCATGCCATCTTGAAGGGGCCGACCATGCTGGTGAAGTAGGGCACTCCAAGGGCGGACAAAGCGAACGGGATCAGCGTGATGAGTTGTCCTTTTACGGAAAGCAGATATGAGGACGTTCTTGCATTTTATATGAAGGCAATCACGGGCCGACCAACAGTCCGTCCTTCTGGTAGATTCCCCTCCCAGTTTCAATCTCGGAGATGCATCCAGGTTGTCAATCAGTCAAAATCTGTCAGAAGGACTCAGTCAGTGACGAAACTGAAATCAATGGCCGCTTCTGTCCTCTCTAGTCCCATCCATTTCTTCACTTGCAGCCAGCACGATGTCGTCAACCGTTCGTGTCTTGGCCGTTGTGTTTGCAATCGCAATGCGTCGGTCGGCGTCGTCATAAATCTCCAACTCCGACATTTCGATGTTTTTCGTTTGCGGCGTCCAAAAATGACCTTAAACTCGCCCGACCGTGTTTCTGAACGTCTTTTTGGGCTATCGCAGTGCGTAGCACTGGTGAACTTCATGCCGACGATGATGCCTGCGCTTGCGTTCGAGCATCCCCCCGCGCGTCGCCCCTCGCTCGCACAAACGCCGTCTCTAGAGCTCCTTCATGTGCTTGAGTGTGACCTGCACTACGCCGGGCTGTACCTACGGAGAAGAAGATAGAACCCGGCGGAGCAGGTCTGCTTCTACTGCAAGCAGGGGCGCACCGGCCACATCGACGAGGCCATGGCGGGGTCCAGCAGCTCGCTTTGAGCCTTTCCTCTTCACGAATGCAACTTCACGCTCCATCTCCATCCACGGTGGACCCTTTGCGGAGACTCGGTCGTGTGACCGTGTGTGTGACGCACCTTGGATCTTGAGGACGGTGCGTTGTTGGTACCGAGCAGAGCAGGGCGAGGGAAGCATCTAGCATGCCGTCGCCTCGCCCGCTGACGACCGGGTTTGCCTCGGACTGTGCTTGTTTCTGTCCGTTTAGGGTGTTTGTGTGTACTTGTTGCCAACGTGAAAACCCGCTGGGACCCGGACGCCAGCACACACGGCTAGATTTCATGGCGGGCCGCCTAGGTGTGGGTTTTCGTGCTCCGGGTTGGTGTGCACGGTCCGTGCGGAGAGCCTGTCCGCTGTCGTCATTGTTGTTCCGTGTCTTAGTGTAGCAGAAGTTCGGTCGCACTTTCACGCCGAGGGGCTAGCGAGCCCCATCCCGCTCGGAGAAGGGGCAACTCCGTGCACTGACGGTAGTCGCGCGCGTACGTACGTACTTTCCCTGGGTAAGGCCTTGTTTTCACGTCCTTAGCGAGTGATGCGATCACGTTCTTGTTTTGCCCAAAACACGAACGTACTCGCACGTTCTTATTGGCTGTGGCGTGTGTGGGGTGCGGGTGGTGGGTGGGTGGGTGGGTGGGGGGGGGCGCTCTCGAGGTCGGCGTGGGTGGGGTGGGTGTGCCGTGGGTGCGCAAGATTGTGTGTAAATCCGAACAAGTGCTCCAAGCTGATAATTTCTTTTTCGCACGAGGGGTGTAAAATTCTTTTTCGCAACGTAATCACGACCGTGTCTTCGAGCGACAGTTCGCCAACCATGTCTGGCCCTCGAGCGTCTGCTTGGTTCTTGCGGATGCAGGCGGCCATGATTGAGGACCGCCAGTCGAAGACGCTGCTGACTGACGAGACTGTGCAGCGGCTGCGGGCGCATCGGCAGCGGCAGTGGCAGAAGGTGGCGGCAGACTTCAACAAGCGTCTGGACGAAGCGAATGAGCGCGCGGACGCATCAATCGCAGCGTGGCTCGCGGCTCACAAGGAGCGCGTCGCGCTCGGCATGACGACCGACGGTGGGACCACGACCGACCACTGCGACACCGAAGGCATGACCGAGGAGGTCGCGGACGAGAACGCGCCGCTGGTGAACGGCCAGGGATACGTTTGGGCCGAGGGCTACGGCGGCCGCCCCGGCTGGGTTCTCTGCGTAGATTAGGGTCAGGATTAGGGCCAGGAGCCGCCGGCGTCCGGCGTGCGAGGCCCGGCTCTTGCGCACAGAAGCGAGCGGAGCGAGCCGAAGAGAAAATTTGAGGCTAAGGTCGTACATGCATGTATGTACGTCCCTGTTTTGACAGTACGTACGTAGTGTCGAAGTACGTCCGTGATTGAGCTGAGGCGCACGTACGCGAGGGTCGCTAGCGTGTCGTCAGCAAGGGCGTGTGGGCTGGGGGCATTTCCGCCCACGTTCTTGCGATACGTACTTGATTTCACGGTCGTGAAAGCAAGGTTGCCAAGCTCGGGTGTGTATCGCCGCTGTGGGTGGCTGGCGTTCGTGAGTGTATGTTGCCCGGCGCCCGCCAGAGCGCTCGCAGCTCGCGTAAGTCCACGTCGACAGGCCTCCTCTCCTTCATCGCGCTCGTCCTGTTTGCAACCTTCTTCATCGTCACCGCCGCCTACGTGCTCGAGCGCTCGGACGCGGTCACGAGCGGCTCCGAGCGGCAGCAGAAGCGGCAGCGGCATCTCGCAGCGGCGCCGGAGGTGGCCTTCACGGGCGCCGCCGCACTGGCGGTGGGGGCCTCCGAAGCGCCGGCCGACGATTCGCCTGCCGACGATTCGCCTGCCAAAGCCTCCGCCGAGGCCTCCGCGCCACCGGACCGCGGCGCACCCTCGGGCGGCAGTCTCTCCGGGCTGCAGCCGCACCCGGAGCCGGCGTGCGCCGCGCTCCTCAAGGAGAGCGCCGACGTGATGTTCATGGTGGTTGGCGGGCGAGGCTACCACGACGTGCGGACGAGGGTCATCCTCCGCTCGTGGGCGCGCTGCCTCGCCCACTTCGGCACACCCTAACCCTAACCCTAACCCTGACCCTGACCCTGACCCTGACCCTGACCCTACCCCAAGGCGCGCTGCCTCGCCCACGTGCTTGTCTTCACCGACCCGTCGCTCGACGTGGGCGAGTACCTCCCCTGCCCCCGCGGTACCCGGACCCATACCCTACCCCCACGGTACCCGAACCCTAGGCGAGTACCTCTCGCCCCACCGGTCCGTCTACCTGCTCGCCGGCGACGCGTGGCGGCGGCGGCCCTACCTGCCGATGTCCCACATGGACGCGCTGCACCGCACGATCACGCGCGCCCCCACTCGACCGCCGCCAACCTGTCCCCACGGCACCCCTCCCCTACCCCCGCGGTACCCGAACCCTAGGCGCCCCCACTCGACGGCCGCCAACCTGTCCTGGTACTTTTTGGTCTCGGACCGCACGTTTGTCGACGTGCGGCCGCTGCTGCGCACCGTCGCCGCGCTCAGGCCGTCGGCAAAGGCGTACTACGGCGCCATCGCGGAGTCGTCGCACAAGGAGTCGTTTGGCTTCCACGAGTACGTCGACCTGAACGGCGGCGTGCTCCTCGCGGCGGGTGGAGGGGTGGACTAGTGACCGAGCCAGCTCCCTCGACTGAGTAGGCGGCGTGCTACTCTCGGCGGAGCTGATGCGAAGGGTGGCCGACCCGCAGGCTTGCTCGAGATCGGCCGAGATGGCCCGAGATCGCGATCTCGGGCGGCGGCGGCTCTGCCAGCGCGCCCCAAAAGAAGCACACACACGACGGCGTGATGGTCCGCGTCAGATCACGCTCGAGTCTGATCTCCGACAATCTCCGACGCCTCGCGCACCAGCACCAGAAGGACACTCTCGCACACTCTACCGCACTCTCAGTGTGCCACGACTCTCGCCGGCTCTCGGCGACTCTCGGAGTGAGCAGGCTTGCGCAGACGCGTGTGAGGGACAGACGCTGTTGCCCTACTGCGCTTCCCGCGGGGGCCGAAGACGTACCCGCCGCCGCCGCAGGCTTGCGCGGACCAGAAGGACGCGGCGGGCACGTACGACATGTTCGACGCAAAGCTAGGCGAGATACGGGGAGATATGGGGAGATACGGGGAGATATGGGGAGATATGGGGAGATACGGCACGTACGACATGTTCGACGCAAAGCTAGGCGAGATACGGGGAGATATGGGGAGATATGGGGAGATCTGGCACGTACG